AACTGAAAGATCAATGGAAAGAAAGAATGTTAGAAATATTGTTAAAAGAATTTCCGAATTTAAAAGATAAAATAGTTTATGTTGATAAGGGTACAGCAATTACGAATGATTTTTATCTTGGAACTTATCATGGAGCTGCTTGTGGACTGGCCCATACACCAGAGCGATTTAGACAAGTGGAAATTCTTTCACCAATATCGCCAATCAAGAATCTTTATCTCTCGTGACAGGATATGCTCACTTGTGGGGTATCGAGCGGCCTTATGAGTGGATTTATGACATCATATACTATTTCTCCTAGCTTGGTATTTAAGTATCCAAAGCGCAACTGATTTTGTTCGATTCCTGCAACAAAACTACATTATGTTTCTATGATTTTTTTTTAGAAATTAGATTCAAATGATGCAAAAACTTGAGTGAAATTATAATGAAATTCATAATAACTTCTCATTTCATTGAAATTTATACTCAAATATATACTAAAAAATCAAAATAAATTAATCATTAATCCGATGATGGTGTGGGTAAAGATGTCGGTATGTGTATCTTTCTCTTCGTCGATAACCACCCACACCCACCCACACCCACACCCACCCACACCCACACCCACACCCACACCCTGGGTTTTCACTATTTCGATGTATCAACACTCATTTCCTTATTAACAAATAAGACTCCGTATGTGTATATTGTGTCATAAGCAGAGTACTCCAATCTGTTGCAATCTTGAAGCATGAAGAAGCTTCCATTGCCTAAAATGGTCTCAGCATATATCTCCTCTCTATCGATGGCTAAAATCATAAAATTTTCAGAAAAACTTGAATAGAGGAGAACACTCGTTGGAGAAAATTTCAACACAAATGCTTGAAATTAGTCGGAGCTATAGGTCATCTTTCAACGAACCTCTTTAACTCTCACATCGAGATCACTCAATGATCAAATCAAATTAGACAAACTCAAAACCATTTAATACGAAATTTTCATTTTGGTAATAGAGACAGCACTGAGCTTTTGAATAAGATGTTAAACGTCATGAGATTTTGTTCCTATGCTGAAATATCATCCTCAGAAGAAGTCTATGTTGATGTGCTAGCTCTTTTACATGAAGGTTGATCAAGTCCTGACTGGCCCTTGCGATTAGGGTTCACTAAGTTCTGTTTGTAGTAAAAGTCTGATGACTCATCTCGAATGGCATTAAATTGGCCGAAAGAAAAAAACGCGAACGAAAAAATGTCGAGAAAAAAATGGCGAAGAATAAAATAGCAAAAAAGAAAACAGCGAATATAAAAAATGGCTAAGAAAAAGATGGCGAAAACTTTATAGTAAAAACATAGAACACTGATCCTATTAGAATGTCGAAAAAGTTTATTTTAACATTTTCGACTAGCAGAATGAAAATATTTTATTACATACAAAAATGTAATAGATGCCAAAATAGTGTATTTCCCAGGTTGTCAAAACTGGAAGCAGACTGGGTTTGATCACTTAGGAGCCTGATTGAAAGATAGTCAGTGAGATTGACCGAATTTATGAGAAGTTGAGAAACTTTTTGAGAAGTATTGAGCAAAAAAGACGAATAAAATATTGGAGATTTTCTGGAAAAAACGAAAATATCGAAATTATGGGCAATCAACTGCAGTTCAAAACATTCCTGTAGTTAGATACCAACAAAAAATAGGTTTGCGAATCTATGTTGTCAGTTATGAGGGGATAGAATATTGGTGTGAGACAGAGATGAGCACAGGACAAGATTTTCCGTCCTGTCCTGTCCTGTCCTTTATTAACCCCCATCCTGCCGCTCAGCAGGACAGGACCGGAATTTTAGTTTCATCC